AAGCTTACCTGTCAACACCTGCCAAGAAAGACTTGCACGGCTTGAGGCTGCAGATGAGTTTCATGTTGTTGAGGTCTTAAAAAGTTCGCGAGGGTCTTGGTGCTGGTTTATTTGGCTTCGACGACATTTGAGCAGTCGTCGAAACTTGCCTTGAGGAGATCATGTCTGAAAGGCTTGGACATCAAGCCCAAAACGGGCCCAACATCTTGTAGAGCGATGGCAACCCCTGAAAAGCGACACCCAGGCCAAAACCCTGAAGGCCGAGGGGGAAACCTGAAAAGGGCCAACCCCGATGCTACGACCAGTAGGCAGCTATCAAGTTTAGAAAGACGCTCACTTTACACTTGAACCTTTCTCAGACCTGCTTCGCAGAGCATATGCAGAAACCTTGCATGTACAAAGACTCTGACAATCTTTTGAATTCTGAAAGGTTGGTAGGTGATCATAAGCCAGCTGGACCAGGTCAGGCAATTGCTAGTGCTGGGAGAGTTCCGGAGGTGGCTGATGGGCGCTACATGTGCAGTTCCATGATTCCGACTCCCCACCCCGCAAGCCTTGCAGGCTAAAAAGAAGAAGCAGCAAGGAGCGGCAAAGGGCTTTGGAGCTCCTCCCAAGGACGGGGCGCTGTGGCCGTCATAGCCCAAAGCAACCGATTCTGGACATGGGCTTGGGGCTGCTCAGAATCACTTGGGAAACCTGATAGTGAGACTGTTGATGAAGCTGGTGACAATGCTAATGACCATGAGGGTGCGCATGCTTGCTAATGCAGTATCCAATGCAGCCACTTTGGGTGTTACACTGTTTCTCGACAGAGCTGCGCCAGCTGCATGATTGATGGCGAGGCCCAGGGTGCTTCGGAAGCATCAATGCCTGGAACCCAGACCAGCGCCGCAACGAGTCGTGATGCAAGAGTTGTGAGATGTGAACATCGCATGGCTTGCATTTGGGGGCTCTGGGTCTCGGTTCATGGCATTCTGGTCTTGAAAGTTGGGAGCTGAGACAGCCCTGCTCGGAAGCGAAGTCTTCGCATGACCTCACATGACTCATCTCAAGCTGAGCGGCAGCCCTGTATGCACTGTTCCATTGTGAGTGAATCCGCACACAGTGTACCTTGGGTTGGCAGAGCACCTTAGTAACGTGATGGAGGGTGTCGGCAGCCCGGGGCTCTTAGGGTCGCAGTCTGTCAGGGCAAAACCCATCGACGTCCTCCCTTTGCACGGTGCAGTGGACGCTGAGGCACAGCGCCAGTGATCTGGATTCGATAGCATTCCGATCTACAACCCTGTCCAAACAAGTGATACAACAGGTGTGGGTTCAACTCCCGTATCGATATTGCCTTTCTTTTCGTGTAGGAGCCAAGGTGAGGCAGAGATCAGATTATCCTGACACGAACAAAACCCTGGCACAACGATAGTGCCCCCCCCCAAAGTGATACACAAAGATGGGTGACTTCCAAGTGTCCCATCCAAAAGCAAAGATGGACATCCAGGCGAGGGATCTGGCGAAGCATTATAAAACGATAGGTAGGAGCATCGCAGTGTGCGAAAACCGTTTAAAAGGATACCCTCCCCCAAAAAAGCAATACCTTCGATTTTTATTTAGCTGTGATCAAGAGTTTATGCAGCTGCTCATGATATGATGGAAAGCAGGCCAGACAGATGCTGGTCCAGATATCAGTGCGGTGAACCCGTTGCGAATGTCAGAGCAGACACAGAACGCGGCCATGGTAACTCCTGCGCAAAGACAGTTCTTCTGAAGCTTGGGCCGGTACAGGCAGGCTGCATGGCAAATGTACGTCAACCACAACTGAGTCAATTACAGCCCCTATAATATCGTAGTAGTGTCCATTCTCTTTTCCATTATCCTTATATAACCTCAATATATACCCTATGGTAATACAGTAGTTTCCATCTTCTTTGCCCTTATTGCACTATTTTCCCATAGTATACAATGAATGAAGCAGGGCAGATCAGGCAGGTAAGGCACCTCAACAGTTGCACCTCCAGATCTCGGGTAGGCTCAAGACCTGGCGGTCCGCGCAGGACCAGCTGGCAGGCGCCAGTACTTCGCCTTTCTGGGTATGTGTTGAATGGAAAATCTTACAGAGGCAAGCGCTTCACAAGCTCGAGGTTTTTTGATTCAGAATATTCTCGATATTGTGGGACGTGGATGGCGCCTCCAGTTAGTGCACAGATGTGGGAAACAAAACGCCTCAAGTACCAGAGTACAACTGAGCTAAGGCATTCCAAGCACGGGGTTGCTGTATCAATCAACGCCTGATGCATAACGTGAACGGACAGGCGACGCGTCATCCTTGCCACCAACGTCGCCGAGGCTTCCATCACTGTTCAGGGCACCGGGCTAAGATCTTTCTTAGTCATGTTCGTGGAAGTGCTCCAGTGTATCCGCGGACTACTGAACACGCAGCGGAGGGCACTCCTGCTTCTGAGTTCTGCTAAACAGCTAACGTTCCGAGATGGCTGCAAGTCATTCTGGAGTCCATGAGATTGACATGTTACTTTAAGACCCCGATTGAAAAGCTGAGTCTCTGCCCCCGGCCTCTCAAGCCTCCAACGGCCCAAAACCTCCAGCAAGGTATCACAGCAGTAGTGGACACTGGCCTACGGAAGAGGCCTGCGGTGAGCACATGAGAGCTTCTGACCAATTCATTCAGCCACTTATGAGGTGATTCTTATGCTTTACTTTGCCCTTGGTTTGACATCCTCCAAACATGATCCTCACGATGATACCAGTGAACTCACACCTTCACGGATCACCACCCTGTACGACGGTACTTAAGCTCTGTTTTGTGAAAAGAAAACAATGAGGTCCTGTTCGAGCATTTGTCCAGCTGCTCTTTCAAGCCTACCCCAACAACGGTCCTAGCACTTCACACTTCACGCAGAGACTCAGTGCAGGTCAGTGTTCGACCGAGAGAGGGGCCTCAACAAGCTCGAAGTGGCCAAAGCCCCGGCATGTGATTCACGTCTGCTTCTGATGTATTGTGACTGCGGAAGAAAGAGTGGCTTTGTACAGCATTCCTCAATGTGCCTGTCCACTGCCGGTTCCTTATCCTTATCTTTGGTGAAGCAGTAGTAAGTAGCCTTCGATTTGTGTGAGGTTGCCGTGTGGTATACAGGTCAGAAACTTGCTGGGACAGTCGAATTCAGCGATAACTTGAAGTTATGGCTGTTTCCTCGTCCAACCGAGCTGAAAGTAGCTGACTGTTATCATCAACGACACCACCCCGGTTCGAGTCTCAGAAAGCGTGGCAAGAAGGAAGCATCTGGACATGGAGATCAGTGGTAGCACGGCAGTGAGGAACATGTAGACAGGGAAGGAGAACAGGCACAAACTAGCAGGCAAGCACGAAGAATCTCAACACACACTCACAGAAACCATCGCAGGAGCTGCTCCAGCGTTCTAAGACCTGTTATCCAAGGTCGGTTGGATCCAATGCAAGCACAGAGTCTAGGCCAATTAGATCAGAAAGTAAGGAGGCTACAGACTTGCAATCTCCCATGAAAGCCAAGGAATCCATGCCTGTTGACCCTGCACCTCCCACACGCGTTCTTGAATCCTTTGTCCTGGAACGCTTAATCACCCACAATCATCCCCAACCCGACGCCCGGAGCTTTCTCCTTGCCCGTTGAGTCTCGCACCGGTCCGCCAGCCATCCCTAGGCCAGATCCTAAAGTCCCGAAGTTGCATAGCTTCAGGCGGCTGTCTCCACTGCTTCAGCAGACCAGCGCAAGGGCCGCGCAGGCCCTCAAACAGCAGCTGCACAGTTTCCGGGAGTGGGACGTATTCGATAGCAACCAGAACTATTAGCGGAGTAGTCCATGTAACTGTATAGATGGATGCAGGACATGAAGCAAAAGGACACGCCAGGCGCAGATAAGGCAGCAGCAGGTATTGTAGAGATTGCTTAGTTGTGTTTCGCAGGAACCCCTGCAGACACATGCCAGAGCCAGATTTGAATCAACAATCACAGGGGATCCCAAACAATTCACAAGATTGAGGCCCAGATGTAGTATTCAACTAGAGCAGATTTTGCAGCGTTTGGTACCGCAGATGAAAGGCTTCTTGCTAGGCGATGCTTTATTGGATCCATAAAGGCTAATGAACCTGCAAGCATCAAGAACAGCATGCTGCATAGACTAACAACCATTCTAAGTTTTTGAGATTTCTTTAGAACTCTTACATCCTGCAGCGCCGCCGCAGAGTCCCAAAACCGCTGGCCTTTGCCACCGTGACTGGACAGGACGCCTGAGGCCTGGCCTTTGTCGGCAACTGAGCTGTTACTGTAGAGCTTTCCGATCCAGACGTCATGAGCTTGGAAGGTGGACCCAACAAGCTGTACCTCAAAACAAGAAGTGTCAGTTGCGCACTCTCACGGATTGTGATGTCTTCGTTAAGAAATTGCATTGCTTTGTAGGTGCGCCCAGTACATTCATGAATGCGTGATAGGGTCTCGGCAACTTCTGAGAAGGTGGGCGGGTGAGAAGTTTCGGAAGAGGGATTCGAGAAACATGCAGAAGACAGCACAAATTCAAGAGGCCTGCGGCTGTGGAACGCTGATGAGAAGCTTCAGGAGGAAGACGTGGGAGACTCAGCAGGAAGCCTGTTGCTTGTTTCTGAACAACTTACCCAGAAAGGCCTGAATGTCATGATTTTGGAGAGAACGAAGCAGAAGCTAGTATGCCTTGACTTTGCGGGGCCTGAATCTGCGAGCGCACGCTCTCCAACACTGGCTTGCAATCTTCTGGGTTTTGTGATCCCCAGCAGTCTGAGGCCCCTGCTGTTGCAGAGGAAGATCTCACAGGTACGATCCTGGCCTTGGCAGCTTCTGGTGCTTGGACCTGAGCTCCTTTCCTCTGTGCAGGCATAATGGGGTGCCCTTCTCGCTCCTTACTGTAGGTTCTAGATTTTCTAGATTCTAGAGCATCAAGGGGTCCGGTACGGCTTCAGGTTCCTGCAGAGGCCGTGGCGTCCTTGCCATGGCTGGTGTGGCACTAAGCGCTTGACGTCAAGTCCGAACAGGATGCGATGGCAATCACCATTGAGGTGTATACGGAGCCTCACTGATCATGGTTGCCATGAAAGAAGGTCTCTTGCCATGCGGTTTGAGGCATGCCTTCTGCTACGTTCAGGACCCGCCACCTCACGCTTCCGTGGACTATGCCGTGAATGCCGCGTGGTGGCAGTTCCAACAGTCCATACACATTATTGGTCATATGGTTGCACCGTACTAATCTGGCGAGAACATGGACGGACTCCATTGCTTGAGGCAGTCCGTCTTAAAAGATGCCCCTCCTGCCTGCATTGACAAAGTGCAGGTACTGACGCTCTTGGGAGCCTTTGATGCAAAAGAGGTTGGATTACCAAGTGCAGACACCTACTAAGACTGCAGAGACCACAACCTCCTAATTGAGATGAAGTGAATGGTCACAGGGAAACTCTTCACATAGTTGACGTCAAGTTCCCAGTCAGTGGAAGTAGCGAAGCTGAAGCTCCAAGCTGCTCCTCACATATTTCAGGAAACGCTGCCTCTTTTATTCATGAGACCTGCTTATCTGGCCCTTGAGAGAGGGAGTATCCTGTGCGTCCATGCTTTGCAGGAGTCTCGGGTGCTTTCCTCACATGGCCGAGACCTTGCAAGGCTGGCAGCCGTGCACTCCGGGTTAGCGCAAGTTTGCTTTGGCACCAAATTCGAAGGAGGGCTTGCCATCTCAGTGGGACATTCAGCGCTGAACCCTTATCTTGATTTTGTCGACGTGTTTATTTTTTGCACTTATGGACTGCCCGCAGATACCGGCGGAAGCGCTAAGCAGAGGACGTCTGCGCTGATTTGATATATAAAAACCACTTACTGTCCAGGTTAATTGTGGCAGCAATTTTTCCTCTCAGACAAGTCTGGATAAAGTCTGGCAAACAATTCTCGTCCAGCAGGCTGCCGCTTCATCCCCGATTAGCACACCTCGCTCTGAAGGCATCCACGCTAGAGGCTACCTGGTGTGCAAGCAGAGTTGAGCATCATACTGTCCGCGGGGAACACGTTACCTTGTATGCCTGCCGTGCACCTGAGTACGATTTGAATCCTTGTGAAAGCAGCAGCTGAAGTGTGGTCCAATCGTAAGTTGACAGTTGACATTGTGTGTGTGTGTGTCACCGCATGCCCAGTCTGCAGTATGGGCAAGTGCTATGCATCGTTAAATGTGCGCAGCTCCAGACCACTTGACCTCACACATGTGTACAGGATGATGGGCCCTCAAATGCAGACACAACGGTTGCAGAGCTATGCGCGCTGCTCGAACAGGCGGGTCACATGTCATAAAATTCGTATGGGGAAGTTTGCCTTGTCATGGTCTTTGGAAGCTGAGTTGTTTCTGCGATGACTCGGATTGATAGGCTAGTGCCACGCAGTGATTGCTCACACCTGCGACTTGATGACTAGAAGAGCTTTGCCTCGGCAGAAAATCGAGCTGTGCCTTGCGGCTCTTCCAGCACTGGCAATGCCTTTACATGTGCATGCAGGAGAGAGACGTATTGCAGCTTCAGGTGGGCCTGCCAGTTACAAACAGCATGTTACAGACTGGGTGTATCGTTGCACTAGATATAGGATTTCTGCTGTCAGAGTCTCAGGTTATGGTTGCAAAGTTTCGCAAGGTTGCGAAGATAGTTTCACTGTTTATTCCTTTGGACCACCGGGCCATGCCAACCTCGAAGCAATCTGCACACATGACTGCTAATAGGAACCCATGTCCATTAACTATCTAGGAAATATTGGCTTTGTACCTCACATGTGCCTACCCAAGCCCCGCGTGCCTCGTATCCAATATGAGAGGTCGCAAGCTTCTGCATGGCACCGGGTAAACTTGGATCAGAACAACAACCTCTATCACAGCCTTTTTCCTGGAGTGACTATGGTGTGATAAGGATCCTTTCAGGAAGCCTGACCCGAGCAAACACTCACTAGTGCCACAATGTTTCATGTACAATACAGTACTTTCTTACATTAAGGGTTAGGGCTTGGGTTTCCTCAGGAGGGCAATGCCAAAGTCAGCGCTGCGCCTCGCTGTGCCGACGCTCGCACCAGGCTTCTTCAGTGATGGGGATGCATCCGGATGACGTAGGAAATTGTAGGAGTAAGATCCTGATCTACAGTTGTGTCTGCACGTCATGAACCCTGGCTGAGTCCCCACATAACAAAGTTGCACGGGGCAGTTGAATGTTCAGAAGGCAGTCAAAGCAACGATATCAATTCATAGGATTGCAGTTGTGATTTGACGGCATGCCACAGTGTTTCCAGTCAGATGCACATGACCAAAAATACCTGGGTTTGCCAGCAGTCAGCAGCGCGACAGTTGCTCGCCATGCACGGTGATTTCTTGCATCCTTCTTCAATCTCGTGTTGGTAGACTGACCAAGCAAGTTGGTAATCATGGATGCTGCCAGTCTTTCTTTTGCGCCCGGGATAGCTCTGCTTTCCAGTCCATCAACTTGTCCAATCATATCTTTGGATTGTCTGTCATTGCTGCATGACGAGTCACGGACAGATTTTGTAATGCAAGCAAGAAACCTTCACTAAAGCACTCATTAGCAGCATGGGAATCTCAAGAACAACAGTTGTTCCAGTCCTCAGCCCTGAATCGAGAAATCAGCTTCAAACTTGTTCAAAGCTCTTGTGGTGTGGTTCTCCTACCATTTTGTCGTCAGGTTGCTAGCCCTCAAGACGAGGGCGCTGCCTGCATGTCCGCTGCTCTGAACAGCAGGGGCCAAGCTCTGCTTTTGCGGATTTCATGTCTTAGTTCTTCTCGAAAACCCTGCATCTGCATACATGGGTAGCAACTTTCTTTCTGTTTGGAAGGTCAAGAAAGCGCTTTTGGCTTACGAAGGGTTTGCAGCCTTCACCCTTCATGCAAAATGCGGGACGGAAAGATAATGGGAGCCTTGCAATTAGAAGAAGGCCTGGGATTCCTCAAGTTGCATGCAGACCGTTTGCATGGCACTAGACCTGGTTCTTTACGAGTGCTACTGGAGGATGCCTGTTCGCTCACGAAACCCAAGATGAAAGCAGAGTGAAGGCTACAGAAACATTCGACCACTTCCAGGACAGTGCAAGCAAGTGCCCCATTCAGGATGCTACGCATGATCTTGCGAGAAGATGGAACGGGCGAACACGTAGGTTGGCTAGAGGGGGAAGGTGAGGACAATGGTCTTGCAGCATGCAGAGAACGTGACTTTGAGGTGCCCAAGGCCATGCTGCACTGAAAGTTTCCGAGTTTTTCAAGCTGGAGCTCTCTGATGCTTGTCATGCAGGTACATATCAGTAACCCGCCAAAATGGCCACAGCCGCTTCAGCAGGCCGTAACAGTCCGCAGTCACCAGGTACTGCAGAGCGCTGCGCGGCTGCAGAGGGCATGCTCCCCAGTGTCGCATACGTTGAAAGCAGCTCATGTCGTACAAGAGATTGAGCATGCTACTTGTAGTGTGGAGTGCAGTACTACAAGTAGCCTAAATGGCATTCCCGCCGCCTAGCACCAGACTTAGGATCTGCCTCCAAGGACTCATCGCAGGATGGATGATCAGCCTTTAGACCTTAGGTGGACATCAAGGCTGTAGCATTACTCTTACACTTGAAATGGAAGTGCAGAATTTGAGAACAATTTTGCAAGTACACACTATCTGGATCTATCTGGTATGCCTGGAGTGGCGTACTGTAGCAGTCGCTCACACACATGTGAAAACTTCCAAGGAGCTCCCGTCAGCCGCGAAAGCAGTGCGTATCAAGAATCCTGGGCCCTTCCTTGCCCTGGCCTATCCGGAAAGGGTGGCAAGGCAGGGGACTGGACTGCGCACCGGTGCATGCCTAGCTCCTGCCGCTTGTAGTTTGAGTCGTAGCCAACATAAAATTGTCGCCAGAGGCTGAGAAGCTGATGACTAAAATGTGAAATTTCAATGGTCCTATTTCACCTACTCCGTGGTCATAAGGATGCATGACCCCTTCCATCAGGCGGGCAAAGAATAATCGCTTCCTTCTTCGTGATGGAACGTCTTGCATTGTCCGGCACTTATTCTGGCTTTTGCCAGTACACAGTCATGCCTTGGAAGTCTTCCATTGCCATGCTGCCACAGGGAAGCTAAAACTCCTTGCATTTCACCACGGCTGCGCCCGAGGTCTAGATAGAAATGCCATACCCCCAAGCCTGATCCGTTCCCAAGCCCACCATAGCTCCACCTCAGGTGAAGGACCCCATGCTGCAGGGCGAGGCAGCTAACTGAAGTCTCCTATACACCCAGGGCTCGTATGCTCTCTGAATCCTTGACGCGCAGGGTGTACGACAGTTTGTACATGTTCCTACAGCTGGTCCGGCTTCGCGGCATTTCTGTGAAGCCTATTTTTGAGGAGTTTCTTGCCGTGGGACGCATGTTCAGAACGAATGTTCGATCCTCAGTTGCCGGTTGTAACACAACGTGACAAATGCCAGCTTAAGCTGCAATCAAATGCGAGCTATTACAAAGGTCTCAAATCCGAACTCCAAATCACGGAGAGCTTGCAAGCCTTTGATCTCAGGTGGTGACCTTGGCGGCTCCACTTACTGCTGCTGAGGCCACTTGATTTCGATGACTCTTGCACCTAGGGAGCTGAGAAAGGACTTCGTTTTAAAGGTTGGTGCGCCAGGCACCTAGCTGGGACCTAGCTATGGATGTGGGTACTACCGTAGTGTTGCACAGGCTCCGTGGCAGTTTTCATGTTTCATACTGCTGTCGAGCCCCTAGTAACACCTTCAGGCCCCTGGCCTATCTTGTCGTTGCAACAGAGTCAGCATCTCGATTTCCATCATGCCAATCGGCCTATCATGAAGCCCTTGTTCAAGTGACTTGATGTTTCTGACAAATTCATTGAACATGGATATCTATCCCATTTACATCAGGCAGCACTCCAAATGCTTCAGCCCACGCTCGCCACTCAACGAGTAGATTAGCCGCTACATGATGCAGTGCATTAGGATTCGAGTCCAACATTGCAAGATTTTGCGAGCTTGGTCCCTGATTTCGCATCCCTCGCTGGTCCAAGCCATGGCCACGCAGCGGGAGCATTCGCAGCATGGCTGCAGCAACGCACAATGCTGAACACGTTATGACTACGACATGTAGAACGTGCTGATTGAAACGTTAAGCGCATGACCTCAGACAATATGATAGTCTGCTGGTATAGGCTGATTACCTAGGTGACTGTTGTAGGATGCAGCTTAGGCCTTTGTCAGTGGGCTGCGATTTTGCGGCCACTTCATGGCCATCCGATCACAGCGAGCCAGAATCTTGCCGGAAAAACTCATCCGCTCAGCAGGTCTGAATGCCGATGTCTCTGCGCCTGACTCATGACGTGGCATGGTCTTTGCAGCGTACTTTCAAAGCCTTGCGTAGCGCTAGTTAGCAGTAGATCTCCATGTGATTCCCTACCCCATCTGGTCAGCAACCCGCTCTCTCCGCGAAGCTGCTTGCTTAGATGTTACAGATGGACAGCTTCTGTAAGCCAGAAGGTCCAGTTCTGTGAGACATCAGAGCGGTGGCAGAGGTACCCTGCAGTCCAGAGGCCCTCTGACACTTGAATCCCAAGTTCCTGAGCATGTACGCAACATGAAACTCAGGACCTGCAATATGCCCACTCAGACACCAGCACTGATGAGGGTGAGGCTGCCGTGATCAGGTCACCTGCATCTGCTTGCTGCAAACCCAAAACGTTGGGGGTTTCTGTTGTTTGGCCTCAGGCTTCAACTTTTTCAGGCTTGTACATGCCTACTTTCACTTTCAACTTATATCACTGCAAAAGGCTCATTGGGAGGGCTGCTCTCCGTCCCCCACCTCGCCTTCGGAACGAGACCTTCCTTCGCTCGACCTTCGCCAGGCTCGAGCATGCATAGTGCACCGAACGAGCTAGAGTTGACATCGAGATTTTGTAGCAAACCTATTTGGGTTGGATCTTGGATGCGCGTCCAAGCCCGCAATCTGCGTCTTGGCAGGGCCAGGGAGTTCGGCAGTCAGGCGCTCCACGTTGTTCTGGAAACGGGGCATGCAAGCAGACCTGTTTCACGACTGTGTCTTCATACTTGGTTTAGTTACTCATGCTGAACAAGCGGGACTTCTAGCATTGTCTGATGTGAGCACTTGTTTTCCTGGCCGAGGACCGCAGGGTCCAGTGCTTTGGCGCGCATTGGTGATTTTGGGTCATGCTTCGCATCTATGGGTCCGCAGGAAAAAGCTTGCAGGGCGGATTGTGGTGCGCAGCACCGGCTTCAAGAGCCCCAAATTGAAGGTACCCAAAACGGATCTTGATGCACTCTTGGCTTAGCTTGAGCTCTCTGAAAAAGGCTATATATTCATACGCACAGTCAGCTGCAATAGTAAGCTTTGCCCAGGCAAGGTGCTGCCGCTGGCGCCCTGTCTTGCGGAGCCTGGGGCGGCTTCTGGGGCCTCTCGGCTTTGACTTCAGCTTTGGGCCCAAGGGGACACTGGTCAAAAGCATGTGCCCCGCGTGCACATTGCTATGCTGTCTGATCCGCAGGGTCTGGAACGATGACTGACTCTTGCTGGTTCCCACAAGTGATACGATACGAGGTGAGTATGTGCTAAATACATTGTTTCGTCCGGAACGGCTATGGAACATGTATGGAACGGGCACCCAGCGCAATGTGAATTTTCACATATTGCATTCGTTGGTCTGGAATGGGGTCCCTGGAGGGGTCTGGAACGGAATTTGAGGAATTGATCCGGAGCTCGGGATCGGGGTCTGGATCGGGATGTGCGCTCGGCCTTGTTCCGGACCCTTCATATTATCGACCGGTAGCCAAATCGCAAAACAAGATCGGGGGGAGGGGGCATTCTTCGTGACCCGACATCAAAGGCCTCTGCAACGGCAGTGTCATCGGATGCTCAGTGTCCTGTCCGCACATGTGGGGGGAACAACTTCTGACTCAAAAAGGCAACGCCCGTGTCATGATGGAGGCTTCCTTGCTCTTGCTTGACCATTTGACCAGGACCCGTTCGCCAACTGCAACCCATAGCTTGCCCCCAGCACACGCCCTTGGGTCCGAATTGGTATGAACTGCATGTGATTGAGCTACTGGGGCCCAAGGAGCGTTTTGCAGGGATGCTGTCTTTTTGTGTCCATTCCTTAAACTGAAGTGGCGCAAGAACTCTTGAGATGAGGAGGAAGACCTTTCTGAGGTGTTTGTGTCAAATATGTAGTGGACCCTGTCTCGGGCAAGATCAATCTCCTTGGCTTTCCGGGCTCCCTTTTGAACAATACTACAAAGCAATCCTGGCAGGTATAGCCTCTGGCCCGTGAATCCGCAGAGTTTTCACACACAAGCACACACACACACACATCAAGGTCGGTTTGATGGCAGCGCCATTTACTCTGGGTCACCTCGCTGCAGCTTAGGGAAGACATTTTATCCGGGCTCTGCTTTTATGGCTCCTAGATTGCTCCTTGGAAGCCGTTCTTCCGTGTCTCCTTGCAGGTGGGTTTGTTATCAACCAAGCATAGCTTGCATAGATTCCCAGCTTCAGTCCGCAGAGGTGATGTTTGGTGTCAACATCTTCTCAGCTGCTTATCTCTTGCACATCCCAAGACTTGCAGAAGATGTCCAACTTGTCTTTGAATAAAGCAATGAGTCCAAAGCCGCGCATAACATTAGCACCCCTCCAATAGAAATGGGCGTAGCTAGTGGAAGAGAGACATTTGGACCAAGATTAGAAGGTGGCACGTCTCTGTGAACCAAAATCTGAGTCTGCACTACACGCTATTGCCCAGTATGAGTCTCACAGCCATTCCGCCAGCATGGCAGGGCCCAGATGTCATGGCCGTTATCATGCGTAATGAGCTATATCGGTGACTGATCATTTAGAGCTTGCCTGGCACCACTTCCTTCAGGGTCATTGCCACGGGTATACGTATTTTCAGCAGCTTAGCAATTACAAAAGCGCGGTGCGGAGAAGCGCGATGAACTTGTATACAAAGCCTTACCTTGCGTAGAGCAAGATACCTGTCAGCTTTCAAACAGGCTTCTCCGTCCCTGTCCTCACGGGCATGATGGCTTGGACCGGTCTGGTGGTAGGCCTCGCAGCGGCAATTCAGAATGGATCTGCGCCAGCTCGCTTTCTTGAAGCAGTGAGATATGCAAAAAATGTCGCGATGAGACGCATGACCAAGCGTTGCTCTGATAGATTGCATGTGAAGTTTCTCAAGCATATCCAAGACCACGCTAGACTTGAGCGTGGCTTCTACTTGTTCCTCTTGGACATCATCACTTTTGGCTAGAACCGTCAGGTTAGGCAATTTAAGACGCTTGATGCCGTGCCAGGAGTAGTTCTTCAGCAGGGTGTTTAGCTTCGCGCAAGCAACACGCAAGGCATTGATATCCACTCTCCTTCAGATTAGCATACTTTGAGGCTCCTCCGCCGGTGTTGGGGCTGGCCTGGTGGGTCCAGCTCTTGGCGCTGTGTGATCTGGGTTGTGCTGCGTGAAGGTGTTTCTCCAAAAGTGTCAAGATGCTACATATCAACATGCCCCTGCTTCGCTTTTGCCTGGTGTGCAGACGTATGGGATGATTAGAGCTGTCCGACTATCCTGTCTGGGCTTTCAATGTGCAAAGTGTGGGGAACCTAGGGCGTGGGATGGGTGCGGAGCTTTATGATCGCTGGACTCCGGAATGAACTGTTGAGAGCTTTAGATTCTCTTGCCTCAAGTACTACAGCAACTGCGGAATGCTTGGCCCCGGCTTACTTCTTCAGTGTTCTGAGGAGAGGACACGCCATTCTAGGCCATAAGGCTGAAGGCATATTGAGTCCCACCCAAAGAATGTGCTACAGTAACAAGTTTAGCTACACTTCTTAGGTTGGCATGAAATCTTGACAGGAGCAGGAATCAACATGGCAACAGCCATGACAACAGCACGGATGCGGGGCAGCAAATATACCATGAAGCGCGGTAATGTGACCGCAATCGCAAGCGGTAGCATGAAACACAGAGCTTGATGAGCAGGGGTAGCAGTACCCAAAGCATCTGGATGCAGGCGGTGGCTGCGCAGGATACCTGTACAGCGTGCACGATTCCGACACTTGCACTGCTATCATTTTGTGGTTGGAAGAAATTCTGCACCGCTTGAGATGCCTGAGCTCGTGTAGCTTGTAAGAATTGAGTTTTCTGGTTCATGATTTCCTTTAATCGGTGGCAGGAAAATTATGTGCCCACCCACCTGTGTTTCCGTGGTTCTTTGCAAATGAGCATGCTGAGAGCCGTGAGAAGTTTCCCGAAGAAGCATCATGGGCAGTCCCAGGTACTACTTCACTTTTCACTCCCCACCTGAGTAAAGATTCTGTACCACTTACTCAGGAGCAGCGTCGGCCAAGAGTGCGCAGGCGTCCTCGACAGCGGATGTTGCAGTGACCGGCTTGAATTTCCTTGCACGGCCAGGGCTTTCTGCACATCCGGCTCCGTCGTCACAGCTGATAGTTTATAATGGTTGTGCTCTAGAGGCCCCTATTACGCATGGGGAACCTTGAAAGGCGCCATGCTCGTCACAAATTTGTCAAGCTACTGCTGTGGCCTGAAAGCCTGCTGAGCCAGAGGAGTCATCTTTGGAGTCCCAGCCAGGGCCTTCTTGTGTGCAAAGCTGTGCTGGCTACTAAAGATGTGTATCGGGACCTCAAGTGACATTGTTGGTTCTATAGCATGTTCTGCTTGATGCACGTGACGCTGATTTTTCCAGCCCACTGCCGCTGCTTGATTGGCGCACGGTGAGCGCCATGCGATTCCTGCGCAATTCGTGCAAAGTTGTATGAATGTTGCATGAGCCATGACTGCCCTTCAAAGGTTACAGGAATGGCCGTCTCAGCGGCATACTTGAATCAGTTAAACATGCGGTCATAAACGTCATAAATGCGAACAATACGGGCAAGGAAGCTGATTTGGTAGGATGCGGCAGTCATTGCAAGCCGCCCCGGTGGTCCTCTGATTCTGGGATAAATTTCCTTGGCTGGATGCCGAAAGAGGCGTCACGTTTGAACTGACAGCCGCACAGGCTTCATGCTCAACGGGGAGCATCCTGTTTTATCCTGTTTTATCAGCTGATTTCAGTGTGCAAAGGTTAGATTACACAATTGAGTAAGGCCATCTACTCATGTGTGTGGGCTTGCGGCATACATTCTGTGGGAGCCTTCCTGTGAGCTACAAATGCGGATGACCGCGCTGACGTCTGGGTCGTGGTGATGGGCCGGCCAAGAGCATATGGGTGATAAGGTACCGTACCTCGCAGAAAGTAACAATGCATCTGGCAACACGTATGAGCATCAAAGCCCGGCCCATAAACTTCTTGACAACATTTCGCACTGGTGCGACCTGGCTGGGCACGGTTCGGGTGCCCTGTTTCAATGGCCAGGTCATGGCCAACTTGTGACCAAGTGAGCATGTGGCAAGACTCGCTGCAGATAGATGTGCTTCCTGCACAAGCTGGGAAAAATCATTGATGCATCCGTCCAGCCCTTTGAATCCCCCCATCCCTGCAATTGCAACATGATTCTATTTGATGATGACTACCATCCAAGCAATGGGTCCTTCACGCTTGCCTGTTCTTTCTGGGCAATTCTCCTGACAATTCTTTGCTTCTTTGGATATTTTAGATAAGGATTACATGAATGATCATTTAAATCTTTGCTGCAGGACATTGTGCGTAAGAACGCGCGACTTCCCTTCTGCCCAATCTATATCCTTGTCAAGGCTGCCGTGTACGTGCTGGGAGATGCGCTGAGATGAGACGATTGGAAAAAAGAGATGGTATACGTAATTAAGGATTCGAAATTGATTTGAAATATAATTATCTTTCCTATTTGAATACGTTCACGATCAAATATGGGATTATAATTAGATAATTTTTATAAATATATATATATAAGAGAGGGTCTTTTAGGATCAATATTTTCTGAATAATAATTCAATTAATATGAAATCTTCGAATAATTCAAAAAGAATCGGCTTATTTGATTTATTTCAAATAGATGAAATTATTTAAATGATTTGAATTATTCAAATTCTTAGGTTTTATTTAATTGAATGAGATGAGCTTAGATTAATTTAAGATAATTATTATGAACTCTCTGAGCTAAAGTTATGAATTTCGTTCTGCAAATTATATATAAAGCTTAAACCTTCGTATATTAAATTTTTTTCATTATATTCGAGATATGATAAATCTATTCTAGAATTAGTGATGCAATAGAATTAGAATTGAAATTGAGGTCTTAAGAGATATTTGAGAATTTATTCTTAAATATTTGATTTAATTATCTGATTTCGAAGAAGAAATACTGCCATAATAGATATGAATAGGATATAGATATATTGCCGGTAATTTCTATTATTTGCCTCATTATCTTTTGATAGATAGATAATCAAAATCTTTCAAAAGAAATTATTTTTCATGAGGATTGCCGAAATTAAAAATTAGAATAAAGATTAATTGAGACTTAAAAATTTAAAAAGATCTTCGCTAGCATTTTGAAATAATAGGATCTATATTATGACGTTTTATTGGGCTCAACAATTGAGATTTGGCAACCTCTAAGCCTTTCGTTATTATTTCGAAGGGACGCATTGGTTTCTGCAAAATAAATGGCATACGCATATTAAAAATAAAATCGCAAATATTTGAAGATCGCTATAATTTTTATAAAGAGATATATATTGACTGAGCTTGCTCAGATTATATTATATAAGAATCTATATATGGAAGGATTTGGAGCCTGCAGAGGGAGGGAATTTCTTCTTCAAGCTGCCGGGGAGCTGCTCGAATTGCTGGGATATTAGAGCGTGATATTTATAATATCTGATGTTTGAATCGGAAATCTAGCATTTTGGAAATTTCCTTTTTAATTTTTCGTGATAATTTCGGTATCGGTTCCAATTTGCGCCGAAATTACGAAGCTGATGCAATATCGCTTTGTCCTTGGGGTTCAGCTTATATAGGTTAGCATATTTTTTTTTATAGTTGTTGGGTATCAATGCTGCTTCTGGGGCTGGAGCAAGGCAATCCAATCTTGAGCCTAGGCATAGGACCTCCTGATTATTTGAAAGGATGGTCTTATTTGTCGCGTCGATTTTCGAGGCTTGCAGCTCTAATTCCTTGGAGAAATACAGATTGATTGCCCAATCTATCTCCAGAAACGAGCTTCCCGCCAGATATCCTTACGCCTGATACAGATCGCGAATATCAGGAAGATCGTTAATATTATTATTAGATTATCTTCTTCTCTTATGATCAAGGCAATGAGACTTATTAACGACCACGCCATGGACGACCTTGAGGATCCCGGATCCAGATTCTTCCAATCTTGAAGCGATCTCCGACTCCTTATCAATTTAGACTTCGAGATTTGAGATTTCCAATCTATGATGGCAATAAGGCATTTATTGTCCTCGATCATGGGAGAATCTTCTATGAATGATTGATTGAGAAATAGGATTAAAATCAGATCGATATCTATCAATTTTTGCAGCCTCAATTTTTAATATTATAGAAAGATTGGAATAACTTCATTTTATGATTAGATTCTTCTGAGGTTCTTGGTCATTGGTGTTTCTATAATTTTCTCCAAATAACCTATTCGACGAATTTGGATACGATTAATTTCTGATCTGCCAAATTCTTTCGTTCATTTTTCCAAATGATCTGATCTTTCTCCTGGATGACCTTTCTCATTTCCTTCTTGGAAGAGATTGATTTGACTCGACGGAGAGATATATTCTCCGTGAATTCTACAAAAGACCTGATAAGGAATTATCGGATCTATTCTTTGATTATTTGATTTTGATCTTTGGAATAATATATTGCTTATTAGATTTCTTTAGCTTTTCCTTTGCTGAATAATTCTTTCGAGGAATTCTCCTATTGATATGACGGATCATCAATAATATTCTAATCGGATGATATCTATCTAGATATAAAAGAGCAATCATCAATAATCGAATATATATCATTCTTTCTATATATATGCATAACGAAAATTGATTTGACACGCCCTCTATCAAGAAATAAATCCTATCTCAAGATTATCTCTAAGATATGAAAATCTCATTTCGAAATTTTGGGAGATTCTGAGCTTGGGACGGATTATCTATAATATATCCTATATTTCTATCAATATGATCTACTCAGGATATTATATATATATGCCAAATTGCTTGATCTATTTATGAGAATATCTCAAATATTCAGGCTTATATTAAAATTCATCATTGATCTGAAATAGATAGTCTTTTTCTTATAGGATTGATTTCATAGAGGCTAAATCGGAAAAGCCATCAAATTTCAATACTGCATCCCTGACGTCGTGAAGAGGCTCTTTGGAATTGAAATGCTGCATATCCCGAGGTATCCCTATTTTCTGATAATCATCAAATTGGGAATGAAATATGGAAATTGCTGGACCAGATAAGCAAGCATCAGATGCAGTAGCTGATCCGTACCAAAGCTGATATAAATTATTCGTATAGAATATTAGCATGGCAGCTGCCCATCTGCATTCTTTGGCTACGGATTCCCAAAATCGGATAGGATTATTATGATATATCATTTTGAAATCATATATGATCCTGAAAATAGAAAGGAGGTCATGTCTCGATATGAAGAGAAGGATAGAATGAATTATAATCTTCTCAAATGATTTACTGCATTTTTTGGGGCGTGATCCCAGGCAGGGGAGCACAATCTGAGCTTATCCCGCTTGAGCGGGAAGAATCTATCCTCCCCGCGCGCGTCATCGAAGATAATCCGAATGCCTCACCTATAGAATTTATATGATCTTCTTCATATATTCGAAATCTTATTATATGTAGCCGCTATATCATTCTATTTTTGCTATCTTGAATACGATATTGAGCAATTTCAGATAGATTAAATATATCGATATATAGAATGATCATGGAATCGCCTTCAATCAACGAAAGAGGGGGACGCTCATCAGCGAGGCTCTGACTAGGAGGAATACAAAATATAAGACAAATTTTATAATGATAGATATATTGATCATATCGATTTGATCCTCCAGCTCATTTGCTATATATTTCGTCAAAGATTGGGGTATATCATCTCTACGACGATACGTCCAATCTATCATGATATCGGCAGTACCATAAGCAGGGGTGCCGAGGGAATTTCTCGAATTTCTTTATCCAGGAGATTAGAAATATTGATCTATTCGAATATCTCCAGGATCTCTATGATCTGAATAATTATTTCTATTTCATATAAGATCTTATCGTCTTTGGCAAATTCATTAATTCCTATCCCTCTCTTCTGATCGTTTATTGGAATCAATCTACGTGCTATCATCTCCTTCAATATTCCTAAAGACGAAGATAGACTATCAAATTGAAGACCTCCTCCTGGCATATTGCCTTGAGCCTTCTGAATTCCTGAAAATCGAATATGGGATCGAGAATCCGGAGATCTTTATTATCTATAGAAGCCAAGTAGATCTATAATATATCTTTGAGGCAAATAAATTCCCTATTGACCGCCATAATGATAATTCGATCTCCCTATTATATTCTCCCAAAAGAAGAATCTGGCCCTCCACAAAGATAATATTATCTTATCGGAGAGCGTCACGTGACCCCTATTAGAAATCATCTAAATCTTGCTCGCAAATCATTGGCATAGATACGTCCTTGATATATCAGCCTCTGATATTCTATGAGAAGCATGGCATCCCCGAACAGGGGCGGCGAGACCAGCAGGAACCCTGGCTCCAAATCTTGGATCTCCATAATAATAGGCGGCGATATATATCAGGATTGAGATTCGATAATTATTCTTCGTATATATCATAATCCGGAATGATTATCATATAGATATCGTTCTGAATAGATATTGCTCCCAAGCGGCAATATATCATATGAACTATCTCTCTATAATCAAGAAAAATTATTTCGCCTTCGTTGATCATTGAATATTGATAGCGGGTTGCCTTCCGAATCCCTCCCTTCTCATCTTTGTCCTTCATTTCTATTATTTGAGGGATGTCTAATTTTTTTTTCTAAAAATAGCCCTTTCGCGGATTTTCGCCCGCAATATTTTCTCAAGATATGCATTAAATCTTATCAAAATCCGATTGGCAAATCCTATATTTGATAGATTTATGGAATATTTGGGAATTTTTATTGGGATCCTATATAATGAGCGACCTGAATAATTTATATTTAATAAATAGATCTAAGTCATCCCTATAAATTTAAGCTAGAAATTCAATGATATTCTCAATCTATATGCGCTGGCTAAATTTGATTCTATTTATAGAATATTTTTCCTCATGAATATCTATAATTATTCATATTTGAAAATGAGAAGGCAGCATTTTCATAGAATTTCGAGGAGCCAAATTATCTTCCCGCCTTTCGTGCGTATTTCATGAAAAATCATTCTATAATATCTATCAGATAATGATACTGATGAATCAAACAAACATATTACCGTCATTTCTATATTAAGAATTATTAATCTTTCTATAAGAATCCGCATATCTAAAAAAGTAGCCACGAAATAATCTATCAAGAAAAATCATATATATGCATAATAATATAATTATATTACGCTATAAATGAAATTATTAAGACTGAATTTTGAATTTTTAATCTAGAATGATTATATACCACGAATTTCCGTATTTATATATTTTTAAATTCGGATGAATAATTTTTTCAACGATTTCTATTGAAGAAAATAAAAATTGGCATGCAACAAGAATTCAAATCAAGAATACTTATAAAAATAATATTCTAAGCAAATTATTTAATCTAAATCTCTAAGCCGCCCTTCCAATATACATGCATAATATCAACAATATATCGCCATCTTTATCTTCGTACGAAAAATAATCCCTCCACTACCAAATCCAAATCAATTCCCAATGCTACGAATATTATCATAGAAACCCAATTCATATATCGATTTTCAATGTTAATTTAAAATTATATATTTTTCCTTATCTTTCTTCAGAAAAATCATTAACGACTCCATAATCAAAAATCCCAAGCCGCCGAAGCTATATAAAGCTCAGAATCCGATTTTCCTTAATCGTAAAATATTATGAAAAATATATTTTGAAATATAGTAATTTCAATTCTATATCTCGCTGAAAAATAAATAAAATTTCAAATCATTCCAAAAAAAAATTAATGAAAAAATCGATAATTCAAAAAATACGTTTTTTTTAATATCTAAATCTTTTCGTCATTGCCCTATCAAATCAAAAATCTAAAGATTCTAAGATTTAATCTTTTCTGACGATATCTATATAGGCATTTTATCAAATGGAATGGCTCAGATCATATCGGCTTCATTTTTTATAATTCGATAGAGAATCATTATCTATAAGAAATCTTGTCTTTTTTGTTCTATTTCCTGAATCGTCCAGATTTTCAAATCGACTGTAGCGCTCATGAGAGATTTGAAAAGTTGAAGAAGCGATGCAGCGGTTGAGATGATTTTGGGCTGTAGATTTTTGCATTGGGAGTCGAAGCACCTGCCTATATATATCTATATCGAGATATTTTCGAAGATCTTATGTAAGGTAGGGTCCTGTAAACTTCTGGAAGCAATAAGGAGAGAGATCTTGAGGCAATAACCTTTCATGGCCAGTTCACGCCGTTCAAACCAGGAACCGTCTTCAAAGCTTCCTGGAGCTCCTTCTCTGGGAACTCAAAGTCTTCCATCTCGCCCTTGGCATATTTCTCCCACGCAAACATATCGAAATGGCCATGTCCACACCTTGGATTGTGACGCAGCAATGTAGGTCTTTGGCCGCGCTTGGGCGCAAAATGTTTCGGGTGCTTCGTTGATAGGTCATTGGCACAAAGGTTCCCTGTAGCAGAACCAAAAATGGCAAGCAGCTTGCTGCCATGTCACATGTTGAAAAGGATCACGCAAGGCTGACCTGATTTAGCTGCTGCCCTGGCTTCTTGAAGTGCGCCTCATCCGACTGAAGTGTTAAGGCGAGACTAGATTCTGCACTGAGAAACAGAACGCGCTCGGTTTTCCCTGACTTTTTGATACAAAACAAGACAAAGACTGAAATGACTTCCACCGGTTTGTGCGTCCACCACGCCTTCAATTGCGTGTGTCGCCTCCGGTGCTGGAAGAATGCCCTCAGCTCGAAAGAAGGATGACCCTGCATCGAAAGCGGCCGTTTGCTGCACTGCCTCTGCCTCAAAGGTGAAGGGAGGGCGGGCAAATGTGAGGCAACGAAGGGCACAGCTGCCTAAGGCTGTTGAGCTCTCCCGCCTCGATAGTTCCCAGCTCTTTGAGGTGTGAAATCAGAGGAGCCATGGCATGATATCTGAGCCCACCAGAGTGGACCGAGGGTGGCATGAAGCCAGAGCCGAGCGTGTGAGCTTTCAGCAGCGGGGTGAGCTTTGCAGTGTCCCCAAAGTCATAGGCATAGGCTCCCCGTGTAAGAGAGGGGCACGCTGCTGGCTCCACAGCAACGAAACGAATCTCCGGCTTTTCTGCTTCAGCCCGCAGCTTCTGCCCAAGGAAAGGGAAAGCGATGCCAGCAAAATTGCTGCCTCCACCAGTACAGCCAACAACCACATCAGGGTATTCCCCGAAGTGTGACAATTGCTCCAGGGCTTCTTGGCCGATGACGGTCTGGTGCATAAGCACATGGGACAAAACCGAACCCAGGGCGTACTTGGCCTCTCCAGAGGAAACACACGCCTCGATGGCTTCGGAGATTGCAATGCCCAGAGACCCTGGACATTTGGGGTCCTCGAGGGCAAAGGGGCACACATGAACATTCTTCCGAAAAAGCCAAGGACCTGTGCCCCAAAGACAGCTGCAAGTCATGAGATTTAGTTCCTTCCATCCTGCTCAAGGGCCTTTGTGCCCACGGTTGTTCTGATAGACGGGGACGGGAAAATGTCTGCGCCGCAGGCTTCAATGAAAGCCTTCCGGTAGGGCTTTTGCTCGTAGGAAACCTCAGGGACTCTTGCAAAAAAAGTTTCTCGCCTGAAGAATGCTTCTTCATAATTTAGCTGTCATCTCTTTGTAGGGTACATACTGGGTCTCGGGCGGTTTCAAATACTGCGTTCCCCTCCATTTGCCTGCAATCGCACTACTGCGGTCTTCTGAAGCGAAGTGCAAGCCTATTTGGGCCACCCAAATGTGAAAACCTCAGCAAGCCAGTTTACCTCGAGCCAAAACCTTCCATCCCGGAAAACTCCACATTTTCTCGCTTTCCCGCTGCCTTCACCTGGTAAACCTCAATCGGCAGGCCAAACTGTCCTCCAGAGCTAGACAAAAAACAAAACAAGGTGAAGGGATACGCGGTCATGCGAAGCCCTTTCAAGATTCGTTTGCTAATTCAGCGCAGCTGCAAGTAACTAGAGAAGTGTCTAAGCTTGCAACAGCTGAAAGCAGCAGAACGGGGGTCCACTTCTCAGGTCCCAATGTCATTCCGCTTTGGTTGACACCTGCCCCGGCGCCGAGTTTCTGATAGCTCAGGCCTGAGCCCTGGACACTTGCGCTTACAATCTTGCATCGTGGGCTCGAAGCCCTGCAGCTTTGAATTGGTATGGGATAAAACAGGCGCCACAGCATCTGATGCCATACTGTAGCTTTTCAGGTTAATGCTCCAGTGCTTAATCAATTAAGAAGTCCGGCTTCATATGTGCGGTTCCGCGTAATAGGATCTTAGGAAGCGGCCTCTTTGGCTGCTAGCGTCAACTGACAACCATTTGCATCCATTTGCCAGCTATCTACCTGTTCCAAGGCCCAAGCCTTGCATGTGGGGATGTGTAGAGATGAGGAACCCAGCCAGCCTCCAGACCAAGCCAGTGCAGAACCCCACTGGCCCGCTCCAGTTTCAGTGGTGATCTTCTTGGTGCCTGCCTGCTTGTTGTAGTACACCTGAAAAGGCTGGCTTCAACAAATCAAGGATTCCTTCATGTGTATCTCCCGCGAAGGCAATACCTGAAGGCATTCCTGCTGTCCGGCGACTGTTGGATTCACCCTTCATGTTGTTGTCCGACAAATAGGACATTGTGTCAGTTGCCTTGAGGTCAAATGGTACGAAGGTCACAACCCAAGCCTTAAACCTCAAACCCCAAGACCGAAACATTCACCTTGCACCAGCGACCAAAGACCTAAACTCAAACAACCTGATCCTTGGAGGCCTTTCGCTTACCACGCTTTCAACCTGTAGAAAAATGAGACTTGGTAGCACAGACTTTGAACACCTAATTTGAACTTGCATCCAGTCCCCAAATTACAAAGGCCTGAGGGACGGCAGTGTTCGTCTTATGAGATCCAGACGGTGAACCGCCCTCGTACTTGTAGAAGATCCTTAGTAGAAGCACGTGCTCAGCTTGGACTGGACCCGCTGAATCAAGGCATTTTCGGGCATTTGCTTGGCTGAAGCCTCGAGGAAATTCCTGGCAGGAGGTTCGTGAGGCTGAGGTCTGGAGCACTTAGGTTGCTGTATTGACGCGGGGTCCTTCATGATCAGAACAAGACCTGGCACCAGATTACATAGTGGTCTCCAAGAACTTGTCCAGGAGCATTATACGGCGTTATGATTCAAAAGAGCGTGAGATCAGAAACGATGATGGAAATGTGGGACACTAACTCGCTGCATTTCCGCCAGCGATTCTTGACGGCGTCTGCATTGGTGACTATGCGTCAATGATGTTGTAGCTGCTGGTTCAAGATCAACAGAGTAACGAAGACATGGATGAAGCCCAAAATCGAGTCTCTTTCGGCTCAGCGATGGGTTGAAATGCAAGCCCTACGCACATCAGCAACGCAGCCAGGAACACAGCACCAAACCCAAAGGCTGAAGATCAAAGATCGAACTTGCATACGCAAGCGATTCACTCCGATGGGTTGTTGCTTGTATACTCTGAGAGGTCTAATCGGTAGCCATCCACCGCGCATGAGTTGTCTCCTTTAATTCTTAACTCGCAGGCCGAGGATCTTGACATTTTCTGGAAGTCCAAGGATCTTCTCCCAGCGGGAAGCTCGTATCCTTCGCCGCTTGGGATTCTCCGGCTTTTTGGGGATCCGGATTTCAGGGGTTGAGGCCTTGGACTTGTGGCTGGGTGTTTAACTTCCTGCTCGCCACCGTTCGGCGACTTGTTTAAGCTGTTCTTGACAGATCAGGCATGATGAGCAGAGCCAAGTCTCAGGGGCGTTGGGCGCCAAAGGTTCAGGACCTCCCTGACCTCTTCGGGAATGTCCAGGTACCTCTCCGTTGACACCTGAACATTGGCGATTGACCTCTGAATCTGTTGACTCTTTATATATGTCCGTGTACCTGAAACCGGCAGAAAGCTCTACATGCCGAACTTTCGCGAAGGTTTGAAAGAGAACCCGAGGACAGCAGAAGCATCTGTGGCAGCCACCGGCACCCATTTCTGTAACTACCCTAACGAACTTTTTGGCTTTGACGAGCCTCTACACAGCAAGCCATACAAAGTCCAGAGTCTAGCGACTCCTGGCACTGGAGAACCAAAGCTCCAAAAAGCCCCCCACCTTTGATGAGGGATCACAAAAATTGAAAACAGTATCAACAAATTGCACTTCCGGATCAAAAAGATTTAGGATGAAGCATCGAATTGAGCGTAAAAAAGATGCAAAGTGATGAAGAATGGTGAAAATTGTTGAAGATGTGAAAATGATGAACATTAAAAATAACCGTCCTGCCATTGGTGGGGATCCCGCCAAAATGCCAAGCTTCTCCACGCGACGGCTGGATTTGGCACTAAAATTTCGACGGCGCTCCAACTCGCGAGCTCAAGTTCAAGCCAGAATATGAGGAGGCCCCATCCGACTGCTGCATTTTAGGCCAAAATTGGCGGATGCTCCACGTGAGAACTAAAAATACCCAAGGGAGATCAAACACACTAAATTCAGGGATCAAGAGAAAGCTCCACACGAGAGCTCCATTTACCCGATTTGATTTCTTCGTTATCAAGGTTTATGTTTTTCGAGCTCATTGTTCCATCTGTCCTCAATCCTTGTTGTTTTTGTTGTTCCCCATCATCCTCATGGCTTTGGTAGAAAGTGGCTTGTGGCTGTTGGGCGGGCAAATGTCCGATCAACTCAAAGTTACGAAATAGACGTGCGAAAGAGGCGAGAGTTTCTCACATTATGAACCCTGAGTTAAGCTTGACCGTGGCATGCTGTACCTGTACACTGGTAATTGAGGACCTACAAAAACTTCGCATCCAGCTCCTTGCTGTTTGGAACGCCAGATGTTCCTCCACAACTAAACATTATGACATTATGAAGAAAGATGTCTGCACGACCCAGGAGATTGATGCGAGTGGCAAAATGAGCCCCACACCCGCTCTCCGGACATGACACCATGTTTGTACATGGTTCCTTGACTTTGGGGTCCGTTCCTATGTAAGTAAGGGACGGAAGTGTTTTGTTGGTAGACTGGTAGGTAGGTAGGGCGGGGAGAATCTAACTTCAAGAAACATGCTCATGACGTCTATTTCCCGCTATATCTGGTCTTCTCCCCGCTTGCCTGTAACCCTGGACCCGCAACATCGGACGACATCTTGTAAGGCAACAGGCTGCAGATCGCTGCAGACCTGTAATGCAAATGGCATACACAGGCGTCATCGACCCTACTCTAAGACAATCTGCTGTAAAGCGAGCAGGTCTATACGTCATGGCACGCTTTCGTGGAGAACTCAATGAAGCTGGTTTTCTTCAGAGAAGTGGGACCATACTGTATGCGGGAGTTCTAGTAGGCCTGTTAAAGACAGCTCACGATTGGCTGTGCAGGTCCCCTGCGCATCAAGGAAGACAGCATCACATAAAGATTGCCCCACCTCCTGCGCAATGAGGGACTCTGGAAACAGCGGAGCGAAGTCTTCGGCCGTGCACGGCCGCAACTCACCCGGATGCAGCGGTGGTGGGAGAGGCACCGGCAGGTCGGCCTGGACCATATGCCACGTGACAAGTGCTTAAGAATAGCTTTAGGCTTTATGGCTCGAGAAGACGCGCCAGCGTGGAGAAGTATCATGGTCCCATGTTATGAGTTTCTCTTCTTTCAGTCGATGAGTCTGCAGTGTACATCTCGACCCTCCTAGCGAAGACAGGAGGGTTTGTGGTTTTCTGTGTGTGAGTTCCACGGAAGGAGCAGCTGAAGACAAAATTTGTGACTGAGAGCAGATCAGAGAAGTATTGTTGGAGAGAGCGTTTGCTGCATGCTTCGGCCTGGATGTTGTACCAGGACTTGGGAAGCGACGTGCCCGTCACGGCCTTTGCGGTTGAGAGTGCCCTCCCTGCAAACAGCTTCTTCGGAGAACGTCTCAGGACCGTAGATGCCATGGCTTCAGCACAATGCCAGATGGGGTGCACGACTTGTCACAGTGGCGTGCATAGTAGCGTGAGGCCTTGTAAATGAGAGTTGCTGGGGTTACAGAAGATGACGGCCATGTGCATGAGCTGGGCTGCTTGTGCTGGTACATAGGACTTTATCTGTGTGCTTGGACAACAAACCAAACCAAATACGCGAGAGACATGAGATTGAGTTAGGCTGAATGCCAGTCCAACGTGTCCACCATATCCAAACTTGAGAAAAGGTGCTGCGTGAAGAACCGGCTCTGCCACAGCTGCCGCATGCTGCTGCCACCTTCTGTGCCTCTTTTCCTGGCATTAATGGAGGCGAAGCCTGTGTTGACCCTGCTAGGCTCGAGAAGCCTTGATTGCGTTTGCCCTAGATTGCTTTGCAGGCTAGGGCACGCCTTGAACAAAGATGGGGATTTCATCTCATGCCGGATTTCCGGCTTCAGCATGTCTGCCATATTGCATGAAACCCCAACGCTTTAGACACGGTTCCTTCCAGTGCAGGTTGGAGGCCAGTCAAGGTTTCTCTTCAACACCTGCGATGTGAAGCCTGTACTGGACTGAAGTGCCAGATAGTTCGTGACATTAAAGGCACAATGCCTGAGGCAAAGTGAGGCCACTTCATCATAATCGGCACGGACAGGGCCCTGAATCCTCTATCATGCTGGATATATTACGCACCCGTCCGTGTCAAACCTGTTAACAACGGCTCCTTCTGTCTCAACTGTGGAGAAGAACTTCCTGGGACCTCTGTCACCACACCTCACATGGCCAAGTGCTCTTGTGAACGACTGCATGAGATTGATCTGGTTGGCACCCGATGTCTTTTTGCAATCCGAGGCTCTCAAGGTGAGATGACTCACACAACTTGCCGACCCTGGGGCCGCATGTAGTCCGAAAACATGGAGACGCAGCCGTCGCTGTCCTGTCCAGCAGACCCTATGTGCTGAGCAGTGCTTCAGGTTTTGGAGCATAGTCAGACCGCCTTTTTCCAAATCCCCAGGTTTCTCGGGCATTTAGCAATGAAACGCCTGAAGCTAGAAGCAGGATGAGGGCAGCAGAAAGTGATAAAAAGGAAATCAGAGGCAAGTTTGCGCGCCAAAGTATGACCAGTATGCCCATCCGGCAAAAGTAAGGTCCGCACAATGAGTGTCGCTCACATTTAGGACAGGCATTAGCTGCAACTCTGCAGACCAGAATCCCGGAACGCAAAAACTTTAAAGCCCAAATGCTCAACCTTCAAACCCTGAATGTCTTGTTGGCATGTCCAAGGCGAGGTGAAGTAATGAGGCATGATCACCCAAATCACTTGATATCTGGAAAATCATCTTGTTGCCCGGCCTTGAAGTAATGCCCTGGGCCCGGGGTCAGATTCCGCGGGGTGGGGACCCGCAGCTTGCCCTGACCGTGCAGGATGAAGGGTTTTCTGGGGCGTGGGATGTGTTCACGGGGGTTAAGGCGCCTTGTCATGGCTTGCCAGCAAGGACGTCGCTTGCGTTCGCGGCCCCACGCACATGAAACTTGAGGCTCATTGAGTCTTGTTTCGAGCAGCAAACAGCTGGGTGCTCGCTAAACCCACCTAAGGCCTGATTCTCGCGAAATGGGCCTTGGGAAGGGTACATGTTGCCACGGCTCCTAGGCAGCTTCACCTCCCTGTAAACTTTTCTCCGGTCAGCCTCATGCTCTTGTCGCGCATGACCAACGCCACCAATGGTGTGGTAGAAGACTGGCCTCCCCAAGTACATGCGTATGACATATCCGCCGGAGCGGCCGGCACTCTGCCCTAATTATGCAGATTTGCCAAAGCCACTTCGATTGACTTGTACAAGGGCAGCATCTGGCAGCTGCAAAGCAGCCCTACTTTTCGGCCGTCTGCCCTAGCAAGTGCGCCCCCCCCCCCAATGTTTCCTGATGGGATGGGTGATTGTCCTGCGTTCTACTGAACCGGGTAAGGGAGCGTTGGGCAAAAATGGCTACCTTCGACTCCATGTAGAGATACCATTATCCCCTGAGCTCGCAGGCCATCTCCTGAAAAGCCACAAGATGTTATTTAAGCAACTATCCACGAGAGATCGCTGCAGCGAACAGCATTCGACTGCATCCTTGCCAATCTTCCAAGAGTCTTAACGGTAACTTCATGCTGCCCACAGCAGAACCAGAGTCACCCTGAATCAGCCTCAAGGATGTGCTATCCAACTGCCAACTAGGAGGCCTCCACCTCAGGTCTCGCGTGGAAAGGTGAGGTGTTGCACCAGAAACTTCGAGAAAAGGACAAGCTGATCACGCATTTGGCACATACCTGAACTACTTTTTATTTATAGGACTGCACAGGCACCCTTAAACCAGCGCCATCTATCTTCACCAAACTGTTGCTCATGCCCCTTTAGACATAGTGATGACATCTATCAATAGTTAAGCTGCAAAGGATGTAGCAATAGGTAGTCTCAAATGTAGTTTACATGAATCCCCACTCCCTCATGCTGGCAAGGGTCAAACAGCAATATGGCACATAGAGGCACCAAGCCACCCATCCAAACATAACGTTCTGGGAGGTTATATCGTAGCAAGGCTCCTTCCAGCCCCATAGGGTTAGACTGTCCTGCACTCAGCGAAAAAAGCGTCTTGTGCAAGAGGTTACACTCTAGTGGCTCCTGGGGCCTTAATCAGATACCATTACTCCAAAGCTTGAACCTCTTTACATGTTGGATCCCCAGAGCCTGGACCTACAACCCACACCCCAAAACCCCGATTCCTAAAGTCCTGAGCACGGAGCGGAGCTGAGTTCTTGCTCTCGGAAACCTCTTCCAAAGGTCGGAAGTACGTACATTGGGACTAAACTCTATAATCCATTTAGAAATGGCTCATGCTCATTCTTTCTGCAAGTGAGGTCAGAGGCGTTGTGCCCACACGATGCTCACTGCAGTACCCCGTCCCTGGCAAGCAACTTTGACTTGATGCTTCCAGTTTTGGAGAGCTTCGGGAATTGTATCTTGATGAGCTGTCTTTTTGCCAGATTACAAAAAAACTTTTGAAGCTCTGCCGCTTGATGTTTCCACGTCAGCACATTCGCGAGTTCTCATTCTTTGAAACTTGCCACACTCTCCCACGCATCCCTCACGCCCAAGCCGCTGGAAACGCTCATCACTAAAAACCCAAAATAATCTGCAGGCTTAAGTGGCATCCGAATCCACAGACTCCTGCATTTTCTAATTGAAGATTTGAGCCCTTTGCATGGGGAGCTACGAGTGTTGGTATGCAGATTTAGACGGATCCGCAGGTGGCATTAAATTAATTGGAGATTCTCTCGAAGAATTCTGACATCCGGAGGTGGGTCAGTGGGCAGTCCACAAAACACAGCCTCGAAAGCCCGGTCGATGTCACCCAAGAACCTGAGCAACAGTTCCTTGCAGATTCCCAGAGGCTACAGTACTTCGATCGTAGAATGAGAACATGGCAGATCGTTTGAGTTTAGATGGAACTGAGGCTATGGATATGCTGCGCCATGCATTAGATGCCGGCACGTACTCCAGGTATGGGCATTGATGCAGACAGAGCAGGAAACAAGCATGTAGGGCCTCGTCGTAGGACTGTTGCCCTTTCTTAGATTGAGTTCTAATCGGATCGGGCCAAAATAATGGGTCTCCTTCTGCGACAACTCTTCCAGGGCGTACCATCAATGGGTCGACGAGGCAACAGGAGACACCAGGGTCCTGAAAGATCACAAAGTAGAACGGGGCATGTCGAGTACCATATCAAGTGTTCAAGCCGGATTAAGATACACGGGCTGCACGGTGGATCCCTATGAGGCCGTAATCACTTCCCATTGGTGGCTTGCGGGGCTGTATAAAGACCCCGTTCCTTTGTGCTTGACCCGAAGTGTTGCTATCGTTTCATTTTCCTCTTATCGTTTTTCATGCTTTTGGGACCTTGTCGTTTGTGTTATTGTAGTTTCCTCTTATCACTTCCAGGCAAAACCCACAGTTTGCACTTTGCGTGATCCTCCGGCAAGGTGTTATTATACCACCCCCGCTGATGTTGAACACCCTGTATTGCAGTATCTAAAGCATGCGTGCTTCAGGAACCTCGTCTTCCCAGTGCCACATAAGCTGAATATAGCAACGAACTTTTTGTTTCTCCCTATGCAATGAAGCTCCACCTCGAAAGCTGAACTTCCAGACGTGATCATGAACCTCAATCCAATCAACTGACGGACAGTACGGCCTGAGGACCCACTATCCAAGGTAGTATACAAATCCGTGCAAATGGCTAGTATCATCTTTTGCCAAACTGCACACCTATGATTTCAAACGCCCAATCCCCGTGCAATCTAGGTATAGACTTACTCCAAAACAATTTACAGGCGCGCATTTTGGTACTTTCTCCCTGCCTTGGAATTCGATAGGACCCAGGGCCTGGCAGAAGGAACAATCTTGGAGCTGCTCATCGCAACGACCCAAAAACTGTAATGATCATAAAGCCAGTAAGTAGCAACAACTTCCTGACGCCATGCGCACTAGGGCGCAGTGCCAAAAACCAGAACTTTTTAGTTCCAATTGCCTGAACCGCATCATGTGGGGAACTTGCTGGAGCCCTACCCTTGCCTAAAGTGCTTGTGCTGATTCTTCGCGCCACGCTGGCCCCAGAATTTGAATCTTCCAGAACTTGACCACTGCATAGCATTACACTGACCTCAATCAACCTTGACATTTGACATGGATATTGTCCCGTTGCCTGGCACTGCCTTCCACTGTCTCCCTCGTTCGCGCAACTCTTTCTGGCTCTTGTCATCACGCCTGGACACGCCACAGGCACAGCCCTCATCCAATCTAGATTTGCTTCGGCCGTGGATTGGAGTCCAACCCTGTTTAATTGAAATTCCACGTCACCTGCGGTCGCGAATTGATTGTCTTAACAGTGCGTGCTGACTTGTTGACCCCTGCTGGAATTTGAGGGCTTTTTTTGAATTTGCCGCACACATGTCA